TGAAAGATATTATTGGTCGTCTAGGAATTAGATTGAAACTGATATTTCATGTGGCTGGAGAAGTTATACAATTTTTAGTTTTTTAGTTCGTTTTATCAGGATCAAAGTCATGTTTTCTCATAATATCATCCAAAGGGAGTGTGTACAAGGAGAATAACAAAGGGCCAGCGACGGAGCCTTGTGGCACTCCATACTTAACTTACAGTAAATTGATTATCACTGAATAACATGTGACACTATTATATGTATTTAAATACACTGTAAAAAAAAATATTTTCAAGATTTGTTATCACAACATATTTTCTGTTGTCAGATCGACTTTATAATAATTTATTTAGTTGAGATAACTTATTATTTTGAGTTTCTGATGATTAAATTATTCTCCTTCATTGTATTAACTCACTTTTTCCAGTTCAATGAACTTAAAATGTTAAGGCAACCCAGGTTACTTACTTTTTTAAGTCAAACCAACAATATTTTTTTACAGTGTAGTAATCACAACATTTTTTCTTTTGTCAAATCGACTTTATAATGATTTATTTAGTTCAGATAACATATAATTTTGAGTTTCTGATGATTAAATCATTCTCCTTCATTGTATTAACTCACTTTTTCCAGTTCAATGAACTTAAAATGTTATGGCAACCAGATTACTTACTTTTTTAAGTTAAACCATCAATATTTTTTTACAGTGTAGTGTAAAAATACGTTGTAAAGACAACTTTTATGGCATTATTTTTATTTTTAGGTCTATAGTTTTAAAGTGTAAATTGCAGGTTAACCACCACAACCAATTAATGTGTGAATTAAAGTGCTCAATATGTATATATATATATATTTTAAATTGTCTTAAAATGCGTTAAAATATCAATTATAAAAAACTGATTCGTGGCCTAAGACACGAAACGAGCGGTTTGTGTGAGAAAACGAACAGTATTTATATCGTTTTTACCTCTTGTAATCATAGCCATGACAAAATGATTTGAGGGAATGGGCGCTTCGGTCGCCTACGTCACTCTTTGTTTATACAGAGATTTCGGAAGTTTTACCTTTCACTAAACATATTTAGATATACAGGAAACCGCAATGGTAGACGATTTCGGTATATCTAAATATGTGTAGTAAAAGGTAAAACTTCCGAAATCTCCGTGTAAATATTGAGTGACGGCACACGCAAGCCATCACTTCCTGCGTAACTTTAATCTGATTCAGTTCGGTTCAGTTGGACATTGAACAACTGATTCAGATCACTTGGACGTCACTGTGATTACACGAGGTAAAAACGATATAAATACTGAACAAAAACTGCTCCTTTCGTGTCTGATGGACAACAACGGTTTGACTGAAAAATGTCAAAATTGAAAATACTGTGGAAACCTTGAGGTAAGCTAAAACATATCAAAAATTAATTTCATAGTGAACTATCCCTTTAAGTGTCCAACAAACAGTTACAGTTCTTCGAATGGTTCTCTGTGTTGTTTCGTCTTGGTCTTGTTTTGTTTTACACTATATGCAGTCCAAGATGGGAAGATTACATAAGTTCAGGAGTACTCGATCTAAGCGTAGGTAGTTGGACAAAAGCCAGATGTGCTACAGTAGATGATGGAGCTCCAGCAATGCTCTGCACCTATTGTTGGGCTGGCTCCCTCGCTGCAGTATGGGTAATAAACTGCTTCGCAACGGCCCCCAAACAATCAATGGGAAATTATCTCGCCAGATCGATGTCTGGGCTTTCAGAACTTGCCTCACCAGCCAATGCCGAATACTGGGACTCAGCAGCTCTACGCAACCATTGGCTGGACAAATGCATCTCCATTAGATTGTGTTTGTGATGTTTCTTTGTAGTTAAAGGGTATGCTATGTTTAGATCTCGTTTTGATTCTTCAATAGTCTGATTTCTGTTCTGATATCAAAGAAAATCAAATCTCTTTCTCTGTTTGTTGACCGAACTGATCTGTTCATTCATGTACTGGTAGCGTGAAATTTTCTTCGTATGGCTTTGTGACCGTGTGCTTTGAACAATTGTTTACAGGTTTTTGCTTTCCCGGAGCCGCAGGTTTAATAGGGCGACAGCATCTGATAAGCCGTCGTGTAGCGTGACTCAAATTTTGGTCAGGTAACAGATTTCATCAGCATGAGCTGTTTGAAGTGAGCCAGACTTTGCAGTGGTTGCAGGTTGACAGATGCTAGCGCTGTACATCTTGTGCTGAATGCTGCCAACTGATCTGCAAAAGCGGCCAGCTAAGATCAAGGGGTGGAATTGAGAGTCTTTGCTTTCCCACAGAATAGAGATGCTGATGCCGGCCAGATCAGCATCATCTCCTTTGCTATCGATCGAGTGGCTCCAGTTTCAGCATTGAGGACTGCTGAGAGCCGGCTCTTAGCGACAGTAATGCAGCATTAGGAAACACTGAATCTCACCGCTGAACAATCTGACGCTAGCCGAAAATATTAGCCTGAAATTGAGCATTTGCAGTTCTTGAAGATTAATTCTATGACACTGGAGTCCTGGATATGTTAAATAAATCTACTGTTATTCTGTAAAATTGAGAACAATTAAATGTTTAATATTATTTGTTTTTTTTAAATGCAGGGAACGCTTCGGCTTAATTTGACAAAATCACTTCATCTGTTTTCCTCTACCAGAGCAAGGATGGCCTTCCTAATGACAAAACCCAATCCGAGTTGGACTTTTAACTAAAGTAGTCGTTTGCAGTCTTTATGGTAAAATGTATTTTCAGAAGCTCAACAAATATGCAATACCTATGGAAGCTTGTTTCCGCCACAGAATGAAAAATAAAAAAGGTAATTGTGACTTTTATCTCACAATTCTGACTTTATTTCTCAGAATTGCGAAATATAAAGTCAGAATTGCGAGATATAAAGTCAGAATTGCGAGATATAAAGTCAGAATTGCGAGATATAAAGTCAGAATTGCGAGATATAAAGTCAGAATTTCGAGATATAAAGTCAGAATTGCGAGATATAAAGTCAGAATTGCGAGATATAAAGTCAGAATTGCGAGATATAAAGTCAGAATTGCGAGATATAAAGTCAGAATTTCGAGATATAAAGTCAGAATTGCGAGATATAAAGTCAGAATTTCGAGATATAAAGTCAGAATTGCGAGATATAAAGTCAGAATTTCGAGATATAAAGTCAGAATTTGGAGATTTAAAGTCAGAATTGCGAGATATAAAGTCAGAATTTCGAGATTTAAAGTCAGAATTGCGAGATATAAAGTCAGAATTTCGAGATATAAAGTCAGAATTGCGAGATATAAAGTCAGAATTTCGAGATATAAAGTCAGAATTTGGAGATTTAAAGTCAGAATTGCGAGATATAAAGTCAGAATTTCGAGATTTAAAGTCAGAATTGCGAGATATAAAGTCAGAATTGCGAGGTATAAAGTCAGAATTGCGAGATATAAAGTCTGAATTTCGAGATATAAAGTTAGAATTTGGAGATTTAAAGTTATAATTGCGAGATATAAAGTCAGAATTTCGAGATATAAAGTCAGAATTTCGATTTCGAGATATAAAGTCAGAATTGCGAGATATAAAGTCTGAATTTCGAGATATAAAGTTAGAATTTGGAGATTTAAAGTTATAATTGCGAGATATAAAGTCAGAATTGCGAGATATAAAGTAAGAATTGCGAGATATAAAGTCAGAATTGCGAGATATAAAGTCAGAATTTGGAGATTTAAAGTCAGAATTGCGAGATATAAAGTCAGAATTTCGAGATATAAAGTCAGAATTTCGAGATTTAAAGTCAGAATTGCGAGATATAAAGTCAGAATTGCGAGATATAAAGTCAGAATTGCGAGATATAAAGTCTGAATTTCGAGATATAAAGTTAGAATTTGGAGATTTAAAGTTATAATTGCGAGATATAAAGTCAGAATTTCGAGATATAAAGTCAGAATTGCGAGATATAAAGTCAGAATTGCGTGATATAAAGTCAGAATTGCGAGATATAAAGTCAGAATTGCGAGATATAAAGTCAGAATTGCGAGATATAAAGTCAGAATTGCGAGATATAAAGTCAGAATTGCACAATCTCGCAATTCTGACTTTATAACACGTAATTGTGACTTTATTTCTATTCAGACTTATCTCGCAATTGTGAGATAAAGTCGCAATTATTTTTACATTTTTCTTATTCAGTGGCGGAAACAAGCTTCTATAAATACCACCTAAGAGAGAAGATGCCAGAAGATGCTGCGGCATTAATATAAGATAATATATAATATATACTGTTTATATTACACTTTTATTCCTTGCAAGATTAACTCCATTTGGAAAGAAAAAGAAATCTATTTAGTCTTCATAGATTTTTAGCAAATTGAAAGTTATTAATCATTCTAAGAGCTAAAAAAAATACATTAGATTAGTCATCAATGCAATTGACATCCCTACTGAACTTTTATTCTGTGTCATTTTAATAATAAATCACATGCAATGGAAAATTTGTTGTAAATCATTCTACACTAAAAAAATGCTGGGTTGTTTCAAAACTTTCAACCCAAATTTGGGTCAAATATGGACAAACCCAAATGTTGGGTTAAAAATGCAATTAAAAAATGTACAGCTGAAAGTCAAAGTTTAAAATTTGACATTACATTTTTAACCCAAGTTTGGATTGAGTGTAGGAAGAAAATGTAAGCTCTCTGAATGCTAATTGTGAATCTGTATTCTCGAAAGGGAATTTCTTTCTCTTTACACACTAAACAAAAAACTGAACTATTCTGTGAATGCAACATCTAGATTTGAGTAATGAACGTCACACAGCACTGCGATCCCTATATGTACGATGAGAACGTGTGAAAAAGGTGTTGCAAGTGTGAATGTGTGTGTAAACGGATTCATTAATTCTCTCTTCCTGATCCCAGCCCTCAGCTCAGCAGGGCAGCTTTTGGTTGTTTGACAGGGAGCTTTGAAAAGGTCACCGGGACTCGAATCACCATTAACCCCACCCCTCCCCACTCTCTCACACAGGGAAACTGGAGAGCCAGAGCCACCAAAGTGCCAAGAAGTGTTTAATGCAGCCGGCGTGACCCGAAACAAAGCCGCGGCGGTCCAGAGACGAGGAACGCCGGCCGTGTCGGACGGTGCTGGGAATGGAAACCAGAATCATTGGTTACATTATAAAGTTATTGCTTTCTCTGCAATAAAAGGCTGAAGACGACTTGTGTATCTGGTCTTTAATATATTTGTTATAATCCAGTCTTTTTTGCCATATAATTAACCATCTCGATTGGATTTCCAGCTCGGCCTGAACCAGACCCGCTTGGCTGAGCAAGGAATTCTCTGCTTACTAAAGAGGCAATTGTGCTGGAGAGCTCGTATTGGAGCGGCTCTTGTTATTTGGGCCACAAAGCCTCTCAGGTTTTTGGGCCTGCTCTCTCTGAGTGATTGAGTGGCCTCTTTGTGACACAGGCATCTCTGCAGCAGAAAGAGCAAATGACTGGCTCCATTAACGGGAGATTGCATGATGGGAACTGCATTAAAGTGGGCATGGAGCGTATATTTCCTTCTTCTTGTGCAAAACGCGGGGAAATACATCAACATGATAAGTGGTGAGCTAGCATCTGCGCTCTGGTGAATGGAGAGTCTGTTCTGGGATTGCTTCAATCATTTTGAGGAATTCTCTCAAATTAATAATAATCTAAAAAAAAAAGTTAATTTCATACCAAATTCCTGTAATGCGAGCTTTTAAAAATGCGTTTTCCTCTAATTATTTTAAATAAATTGGAATTTTGTATTACACAAATGCAAAGTGTACTTGTTTTATATTTCACATTTACAGTACACTACTAATCATCTAGATAATGTTTAAATTACTAAGTCATGTCTTAAAAGAGTAGCTGATAATTTACACACCCCCATGTTATCCGAGATGTCCACGTCTTTCTGTGTTCAGTTGAAAAGAAATTAAGGTTTTTGATGAAAACATTCCAAGATTTTTCTCCATATAATGGACTTCAATGGGAACCAAACGGTTTGAGTGCAAACTGCAAACTGTTCAAAGGGCTTTAAACGATTCCAGACGATGAATAATGGTCTTATCGAGCGAAATGATCGCTCATTAAAAAAAATAAATAACAAAATTTAAGTTTTATAAGCTCAAATGCTCGCCTTGCTGTTCTGTGACGCACGTTCGTGACTCTCCTGTTCGAACTCGTTCATCAAAATGAACGAATCTTTTCCCGAGTCAACTCGTTTGTTACGTTCGTTGAATGAACCAAATGACTCGGAAAAAGATTTGTTCATTTTGGTCTTTTTCCGAGTCAATTCGTTCATTTCGCTCGTTGAATGAACCAAAAGACTCGGAAAAAGATTTGTTCATTTTGATGAACGAGTTCGAACAGGAGAGTCACGAACGAGAGTACATTTTGTTATTTTTTTTTTTTAAATGAGCGATCGTTTCACTTGATAAGACCCTTATTCATCATCTTGAATCATTTTAAGCCCTTTGAAGCTCCACTGAATCTCTCGTTTGGACCTTGAACCGTTTGGTTCCCATTGAAGTCCATTATATGGAAAAAATCCTGGAATGTTTTCATCAAAAACCTTAATTTCTTTTTGACTGAAGAAAGAAAGACATGGACATCTTGGATGACATGGGGGTGAGTAAATTATCAGCTAAAGTTTTTTAAAAGTGAACTACTCATTTAAAGTGACGGCAGCCTAAAATAACGGGCGCCAAATTATGATATAATATAAAAATTGGCAGTTTTCCCCATGGTATGAATGTCATAAATGTTGAGTAGTAACTTTGGAAAACCACTAGCCACAGTGACTGGGCAGCAAAAAAAAAATAATGCCAAGCCCTGCTTATATTTATTCGAGCTGAAATGTGACAGTGTTCACGTTTTATTTCCATCATATTGTAATGTGTGACTAATTGTCCAAAACACTAACAGCGCTCGAACCTTTTAAACCCTGCGTCGCCTGAAGCCAGAGAGCCGCTAATCACACTCGCTCATATGAGTACAAACGACGTTTTCTCAATTCAGTTTGACGACGCTTTTTCAATTCTAAATTCAGTTTTCCTCAGAGATTTGATCTTGGGTGGGCTTCTTCGATACACGGCCGATGCGTGGGATTTCTAAATGAAAATGTTTCTCAATAAAACAACGATATTATGGAGCATTCAAACAGATCTCCTGCGTTTGTTTAAACACACAGTATGAGCTATTAAAAGCACGATTCAAGTGTGAAGGAGCTCATTATCTTATGAAAAGCTTATGTTTTTGCATCTGAATGAGGGGGCATTTTCGAAGAGGCTTAGGTTGTAGAAGGAATGTCAGCAGCAGGTCTTCCTGTTCTCGGTCAGCACTTTCCTCGCAGGCGTTTCCTTCTCTCACCACTGTTTGACAGGCCTCACTCTGTTAACCCCGAATAAAGAAAGTGCAAATGAGTGTACCTGTGGCTACAGACACGACGCTGCCGCCCGGGAACCAGAAACCGTCTGACAAGTCTCTCCCAACGGCAGAGTTTCGGATGAAACCTGGAGATGCCGGTTGGAAGCTAACAGAGGTGGACAGAGTACACACAGCTTTCATCCAAGATGTCCACGTCTTTCTTTCTTCAGTCGAAAAGAAATGAAGGTTTTTGATGAAAACATTCCAGAATTTTTCTCCATATAATGGACTTCAATGGGAACCAAACGGTTCAAGATCCAAAAGAGAGTTTCAGTGCAGCTTCAAAGGGCTTAAAAACGATTTCGGACGATGAATAAGGGTCTTATCAAGCGAAACGATCACTCGTTTGAAATAAAATAACAAAGTTTAAGTTTTATAAGCTCAAATGGTCGCCTTGCTCTGTTCTGTTCGTGACTCTCCTGTTCGAACTCGTTCATCAAAATGAACGAACGAACGAAACGAACGAATTGACTCGGAAAAAGATCAAAATGAACAAATCTTTTTCAGAGTCATTTGGTTCATTCAACGAACGACACAAACAAGTTGACTGGGGAAAAGATTTGTTCATTTTGATGAACCGTTTGGTTCCCATTGAAGTCCATTATATGGAGAAAAATCCTGGAATGTTTTCATCAAAAACCTTAATTTCTTTTCGACTGAAGAAAGAAAGACATGGACATCTTGGATGACATGGGGGTGAGTAAATTATCAGCAATTTTTTTTTTTAAAGTGAACTACTCCTTTAAGTACTGTCCTCAAGTAAATGAACTCCGTCATGGTCCGGCTCTGGAAATTAGCATTGTTTGGGGGCGCTTTCCAGTGTTCAGCTATGCAAGAAGTGCAAGTAATACATGCATGGCATTTGCACATTATTAGGGCATTTTTGAGTGTTATAAATGTTAATAACCTAAACTGATCCGTCTGGGTTTAGTCAATGCTGTTAGTCATCATCTACCAACTGATATCAACATCATTACCAGCAATGTGACTGGAGTACCAAATGTCACGTGTTTAATCATTTAACCCCTCCTCTTTTAAAGGGATAGTTCCTCTAAAATGTAAATTCTGGGTTTACTATCTTGCAAACTACCTCGTCATTTCAAACATGAAGGATGTTTAGCACTCGTGACATCAGCTGTTTCCATTCACTTATTTCTATGCAAATTTTGGGATATCGAATAAAAACGCTGGATGGAAACGTACGATGCATAAAAACACGCTCGCTTAAACAAAGATGTAATCATGTGACTCCCTCAATAACCGCACTTACCAGCGGGCCAATCGCATCTCAAATGTTGGTTTTGTCGTTCTAAAGTTTCTGAAATAAAGTTTGTCATCACAATTTTTGGGTATAATTATAATTAGCAATTAGCGTCACATGATTGGGTTCCCAAACACGCGTGAACATGACAGTGTTTGTGTTTCGCCGGACGCTCTGAGACGAACTCGTTCACGACAAAGGAAAAAGAGATGCAGTTGCAGAAACTTCCATTTGTATTACTGATTTATTCATTTTATTACCGCAATTTCACAGGAAGTGACTATTTTGTTCTCTTGAACACATCGGATGCAAATGCTGCTTTATTCACAAATGTTTAATGCCATCTCTGTAAAAAAAAAAACGGTAAACTGTGTTTGCAAGCATCATACCGTAACTATACGGTGTGTTACTGTTTTTGTATTAAAGCATATAGCTGTTAAATGAAAGTTTTATACTGTAGCTGACAATACGGTATTTAGCTGTTAATTTCAAAAACAGTAACACACCGTATTTTTACCGTATGATGTTGGAAAATACTGTTTTTTACAGTATTATTTTTTACAGTGAAATTTTGTGCATCCGTTATATTCGCAACTTTGGATGGAAACACAGCTAGTGATGTCAAACCATATCCGCACCATATATCAATCTTTATTATAGCAATATATCACTTTTATCATTCTTTTTTGGGCTTGTTTACCCCTTCCCACTTTCTAAAGTTCAGGGAGTGAAAGTCAAATGGGTTTGGAATGACATTTCATAAGAGTTTACATGTATAGGCAGGATAATTTGATTATTCAGTATGACTGTAAAAAAGCATGGGCTGTTCGAACGAGTCCTTTTTATTATCCAAAAATGAAGAATGTTAATGCCATTCATTGAAAGTGAATCATCTAAATAATATTAAGTCACTGAAGAACCAATTAATGGTTGTTAGAGTTAATTTGTATAATGAAGCCTAAATGCTTAACTAAATTTCGTTTGAATTTGACGCAAACTCTGAATCAACATGCATGTCATAATTTGTAATAAACATCATCAACTCATTGTTTCTGCCTTTAATTATTAGATTGTTTAAGTTAATATTTTTTTAGCTTACTGCGTGATTTGTATATGTACATTTCTGAAATGCATAACAGATCCCTCTAAATTGTAATGTGGATTCATGCATTTCTGTAAAGCTGCTTTGAAACGGTGTATATTGTAAAAAGCATACAAATAAATGTGAATTGAATTTGTCAAATCAATTTGTATAAAAAAAAACATTAAGAAATATTTTAAAACAAGACATGTTAAGGCAGAAAAAAATATGTTGGACTCATAAACATTTTATTTATTTATTTATTTATTTTAGGGTTACAATTTTTTCTAATGATTTCAAAATATAGTGTTTTTTTATTCAACTTTCATAAAAGCTTATAATGACATTTTACATCAAACATATTGGAGAAAACACATAACAGATCTTACATTGTACAGAGTAAAACATTAAATCCTACAAACTATTTTTTCCCAAAATTTGAGATGTTTTTATGCACTTTTTATTTCCAGTGATTTAATTCAAAGAGTCATGGAATATTTTAACATCTTTGCAAAAGAAATTAAAGGAGGGGTTTATAGACGTTATTTAGCTGTATTTATATGAAATTTCCCAAGAATAAGCGTCATCAATTATATTACAATCCAAGATGATAATCATTGCCTCATCTATTCTGATTATTTTGTAGAATGACAAAAACAATATTTTTTTTCAACAACAACAAAAAAAAACTTGCTACCAAAAGTCTTCAGAATATTTACAATTACAAAATAAATGTATGAGAGTTTCAGAGTCAAGATTACAACAACAACATAGTACCTGTGTAGTATTTTGAAATGAGTTTCTTTGGACTCATAAACACACAAACACATGTTGGAAATCCCGGGAAGAATCTCGACTGATCCAGTTTCCGCGTCTTACCGCGCACTGCGCGCGCAGGGTTCAATCCATCCGGATCTTTCTCCTGGATTTCATGGCGCTTCCTCCTCCTGCCCTTTAGTTACATTGTATCCCCCTTACTGAAAGGAGCGAGGGATCTAGGACTCAACTCAAGGGGAAAAAATGAATGAATATACGTGAAAATGGACGTGCCGAGATGTTGGATTTATCGTCTTGGAGTTTAAGAAAGCCGTATTTGAAGAAAGCTGTGAGATTTCGATCCTGCGATGCCAGTTTCAGGGCAGTGTTTGCATTTCTGAACGGGATCTTTAGGAGTGTGATGGCTGCTGGCCTTCCTTTTCTCTAGTTGCTGGATGTGTTGGGAAGTGCACTGCTTTGGGATCATTTTGGGAATTCCGTGCGCAAATCCAGAGGCCTTTCCAGCTTCCTCTATGGAATGTACATAAGTAGGATTCTCTGGATAGGGGTTCGCGTGTGGGGTAAGTGACGCTGGGATTATTGCATTTCTTTTGTGTGTGTGTATGTGTGTGTGTGTGTGTGGGTAGGGGGTGGTGTTTTATTGGTGCAGATGGAGACTGGAGGTGCTTTAGCCCGTTAGCTTAGCTCGGTTGTCATGGCTCACACATGCTTTGACCATCTAAGAGAGTGATTTCCTTAAGAGCAACGCGTCGCGGACCAATGCGCTCGAACAGCGCGTTAGGTGCGGCGAGTCGAACAACGAGTCCCGGTTTACTCGATTACGAGCACAAATAAACGGGTTGCTACCTCGACAGTGATTAAAACGACGCGTTTGTTTATGCTGGAGTTGCAGTTCTGTGTGGAAGAGCTCGAGTCTGTTATGAATGTCAAACGATGTGTGTGAGTATGAGAAAATATTCGCAGTGAATCACTGCTCAAACACAGAACTCACTCCAGATAACACAACGTCGTCAGAGCAGTCATAATACACGAACAAAAGGTACACTCTAAAAAAATGCTGGGTTATTTTAACCCAATTTTGGGTCAAACATGGACAAACCCAGCTGTTGGGTTAAATTTATCAATTACATTTTTTATATTTGACCCAAAATTGGGTTAAAACAACCCAGCATTTTTAGAGTGTACCATGTTATTACCATGGCTTATGATATCCTATATTCGATTACAATGTAAATTACGTGGTAAATGTCAATATATGATGACATATTTCGATTTTATCTGCTTTCTTGATTGTTCCACTGATTCTACATTCTAAAAATGCTGGGTTGTTTTAACCCAATTTTGGGTAAAATATGGACAAACCCAACTATTGGGTTAAAATTGTAATTTAAAAATGTAACCCAATGGTCCATATTTTACACAAAATTGGGTTAAAACAACCCAGCATTTTTTTTACAGTATAAATAATCGTAACAATTCTACAAGTTTAACTGGTGTTGATTGAGTATGTGTTAACTCTTCAACTAATCTTACATTTCATGGGCTATTTAAAATGGGATACGATGTCAAAACCTCATTTCAAATTGAAATGTATTTTTTTGCTGCCTCCTTTTAATTTAATAAAAGTATTAATTTTGGCTCTGAACGCTAACAAAAATGTGTTGGTGTATGTTTTCTTGACATTTTATACCATTTGCAGATGTAACACCATGGTGTGTTAATGTAATCTAGATATATTTAGTCAATGGTACTGCACTAGTTAGGGGAACCTATTGTGCACTGTTCAGTGTGTGTGTGACTGAATGGTACTGAAATGCATTTGCCCTATTGTATTGTTAAAAGAATTAGCACAGATATCAAGTAGCCTCAGATAAAGACGAGCAGGGAAACCGTAATAAATAGCATAGGGAAATAATCAGCTTTCCAAGGAAACCCTAGACTTATGTGGTCTAAGAAAGAAGTGTTTTAAAATGGGTTATGTGAAGAGTTGGAGCAGACACCTGCTGACATCCTGTTCAGAAAATCATTTAATGAGTTTCACATTTGGTATTTTGTTTACAATTTCCTTCTTTTGGAAAACGATCATATGTGAAGCACGATCATATGGCTCGTTTTTATTGGCCACACACATCATCATCATCTGCTTTACTCTTAGAAGACAATATATATCGAGCGTTCTGGTTCACATCATGATCATTTAATGGATTTAGTTTTAAATAATTAATTTGTTATTGTGATTCAATTTTATGAAAGAAACGGCTCGTAAAAATATTTGTCTCTATAAATAATTGGAATAACCTGTTAAACATAAAAGGATTATGCAATCATTTAAAACATTTCTTTGGCATTCAGGATTCTTTAAATTTGAGTCAAGAACCCTAGGGTTCTATTTAGAACTCCATTGAAGTTCTATATAGAAGACTAAATTTGAAAGTGTTCCGTCAAGATTTTTTTTTTCAATTTATGAAAAATGAGGTCTGTGGTAAAGCTGTGTGATTAATCGTTAAACGATGGCAATCTCATTCCCAAATGACAACGATTCTCCTGTCTATGGACCCAGATCACACTGGAACATTCAAACCTGCGTTGTGACCCAGAGAGAGCAAATGTCATGTATAGCTATGAAACCGCACACAGCTTAGTTATTTCTGTGTTACACATATTCATATCGCAGAAGAATTGTGATAAAAGATTATAGTTTGGTTTTCGACACTACAGTGATCAAAATAGAGTAAATCACCTCCTGAAAGATTATAACATCGTTACACCAGTAGGTGGCGACACATGACTGTTAAAAATGTATTGAATCATTAATTCAAGAGATTTGTTCAAAAACGCTGATTCATCCAGAAAAGTCTTCGTGAGTGAGTCATTGAATCATTCATTGAACCTGTTTTAAAAAATCTGATTAATTAAACATTTTAAATGGACTATTGCAATTAAAATGTGTCAAGGCCTGCATGTGATTTTGTTAGAGAATAGTGATCTCATAAGCACTTGCGATCTGAATAGTGATCTATAAGCGACCTTGGGTTGTTGAAAGGCGCTATAAAAATAATCAGTGTTGTGCAAGTTACTTCCAAACTGTAATACATTAGGTATTACTTGTTACTGTTATTTAAAAGTAATTCATTACCTTACAATATTACTGTCCCAGAATTGTAATGCGTTACATTACTCATGTATTACTTTTGAGTTACTTTCACCAAAATAACTAAGTAGAACTTAACTTTTGGGCTGTAACGATATGCAATATGAAACCAAATCGCGATTCGCCACACGACTCATATCCACGAACCTACAGAATCGCGACACACCTCTTCCAACTCCAGCGTTATTCTCCTTACCGTCCAGATCCAATGCTGCCTTATCTTTAAATTAGGCTATTAGTATTATTTGAAGTTAACATTATAAAATACGTAGACCTACACCACAAAACTAGTTGAGGATAAATTATTTAAAATTGGGGAAGTCCAGCATTATGGACATGACATTTGCAGTCAAAACTTGAAATAAAAATTCTCAGAAAATACATGTATTGAAAATAGGCTACTTCCTTAAAGTACTCCAGACATTAGACAAATATCAGTCTATGTTTTATTTTTAATATTAGGGAAAAGACACACATTCATGCGTGACAAAAAAATAGGAGGCAAAATATATTTTTTGTAATTCTGTTCATTACACTGCGCAAATCGGATGAGGAAGGGTTGGCTCTCCAGTCTCCATAGAACTTAAAATATTCATTTTATTTTAGTTTTCGTGTTCGCATTTATGAGGAAAAAACAATGTTACAGACGCGACCGCTCTGAACTGGCACTAAAAGACTGCTTTAAAACTTTCACATAGTCTGTTGCCTTTAAGAAGTAAAAGCAGACAATGCACTGTAATACAACTGTAATACAAGCCTCACTGAACATGTAACGAGTAAAATATTACTGAAAATTGATTAGTAATGCCTTACACTACTGCGTTACAGCAAAAAGTTATGTGTTACTGTAATGTATTACTTTTGTAATGCGTTACTCCCAACACTGAAAATAATAAACATAATATCATTATTATTATTATCTCTGTTTGAAACGGAAAAATCACGATTCTCAATTGATCCAGAATCGTGTAGCGTGTGTCAAACAAAAGGTAAATACTTGGAAATTTTATCCTACAACATAAACACACACCGAATCAATAATGTGAATTTTGAATTCTGTTATGTTTATATATATTTTTGTATGTTCCTAATAAGTAACTTTATAAGAACGTTTAAGTTGCGAGTGTGCGCTGTCAAACGATTAATCGCGATTAATCGCATCCAAAATAAAAGTTTGTGTTTACATAATATATGTGGGTGCACTGTGTATAATTATTTTGTATATATAAATACACACACATGCTTGAATATATTTAAGAAATATTTTCATGTATATAGATTTATATATAATTTAATATAAATATTTTATATATAAATAATATTTTTTTTTCTTAAATATACATGCATGTGTGTGTATTTATATATATATAATTATACACAGTGCTCCCACATATATTATTTTGTTTTGGATGCGATTAATCGCTTGACAGCCCTTATAAAAACCCATATTGACTGCATGCAGCACTATTAGATATTGGTAAAGATCTTCAAAGATCTATCTATTGTGACACTGTGCCAAAAATTGCATTATTAAGATAGGTAGCTTGACACCAAAACAGGCAAGTATGTGACATTTGATTTGATCGTCTCTCAATATGATTGTCAGTTGATTTATCTGTAATGTTGTAGAGTACTTGTGTTGGCAGTCGGCCGCAGGGCGAATCTCTCTTTCCTGCATCTCACACACACTTATTTCTCTTGTAGCTGTTGAGTTTTGTCTGTAGGCCCGAGCTAGATGTTTACTCTATAAAAGTGTTGCTCCGCTTTGGTCTAGACAGCTGTTTTTGTCACATGTTTTCCAAGCTTTGATATTGGACGTTCTCTGATCCCGTGTCAGGATGTCCAGGGAAATCAATAGGTCCGAGCCGGTGGGAGCGTACAGCTGGAGATGGAGAATAGATGTTTGTGAATGTTTAAAGATCCATACTCTCATTATGAATTTACTCTCAAGTTATGCACATCATTCAGTTCAGCGTTCGATCTTTATTGCACGTTATAAGTGGTGTGTTACGCACTTTGGTGCGGTTGTGCTTTTAATTGAAGCCTTGTTTCATTGTGGCGTCAATAGGGCTGATTATTTGTAGGGCTGTCAAACGATTAATCGCGATTAATCGCATCCGAAATAAAAGTTTGTGTTTACATAATATATGTGGGTGCACTGTGTATAATTATTTTGTATATATATATATAAATACACACACATGCATGTATATTTAAGAAAAAAATATTATTTATATATAAAATATTGAAGTCTATATACATGAAAATATGTCTTAAATATATACAATCATGTGTGTGTATTTATATTACGGCTGTGCAAACAATTAATCGCGATTTATCGCATCCAAAATAAAAGTCTGTGTTTACATAATATATTTGTGTGTGCTTTATATAATTATTTTGTATATA